GGCGTGTCCATAAAACCCACACGCGAGGCGGCCCAGACACTGAACAGACCTCAGCTTTAAGACATGCATTACATTCAGTATTATGCACCATAATTGTGATTTAGGTCTGGAATGGACGGACACAAGTGGAACTTCACCTGATGCTTCACATGCAATCATTTATTTAGCAAAATATTAAGCCATGTGACATGACTCCACGCTGCAGTGAACACAGACCTGTAATATTTGGGAGGGTGACACAGCTGCAGTCTTACAATGCTGGCTCATGTAATGGAAAAAAGTTAAAATAAAGAAAAAAATCTACAAAAAAGGAAGCACTACTGGTCCGACTATTCACACAACAATTTTAAAATATATATTATTTAAGGGCTGACATACAGCAATAGTTATGTAAGAACTTATTTAAGGTGTCATTTACCAACAATGCTTAAAAAGCTCCCATTTATGGTTTCATAAAGAAAACTAGCATTACAGCACATTACAGTTGGACTCCGCCAAGGTTGGCGTTTGTCACGGATTCTGTTTATAACTTTTACGGACAGAATTTCTAGATGCAGCTAAGGTGTTGAGGGGATCTGTTTTCTGACCTTAAATTTTAGTTTTATTATTTATTTTATGTGGGTTACATCTCTGCTTTTTGCGGATGATATGGTCCTATTGGCTTCATCAGATTGTGATCTCCAGCTCTCACTGGAGCAGTTCACAGCCGAGTGTGAAGCGGCCGGGATGAGGATCAGTGCCTCCAAATCCGAGACCATGGTCTTGAGCCGGAAAAGGGTAGTCTCCTCTGGGTCAGAGAAAGAGGTCCTGCCTTTTAAGTATCTCGGGGTCTCGTTCATGAATGAAGAAAATAATGGAGCGGGAGATAGACAGGTGGATTGGTGCTGTGTCTGCAGAGATGCGGGCGCTGTACCGATTGTTGTGGTGAAGAGCGCTGGGCCAGAAGGCAAAGCTCTCGATTTACTGGTTGGTCTACGTTCCTACCCTCATCTATGGTCACGAGCTTTAGGTAGTGACCTAAAGAACAAGATCGCGGATACAAGATGTTGAAATGAGTTTTCTCCACAGGGTGTCTGGGCTCTCCCTTAGAGATAAGATGAGCAGCTCGGTCATCCAGGAGGGACTCAGAGTAGAGCCGCTGCTCCTCCACRTCGAGAGGAGCCAGTTGAGGTGGCTCGGGCATCTGGTTAGGATGCCTCCTGGACGCCTCCCTGGTGAGGTGTTCCGGGCAAGTCCCACTGGGAGGAGGCCCAGAGGAAGACCCAGGACACGCTGGAGGGACTATGTTTCTCAGCTGGCTTGGGAATGCCTTGGGATTCCTCCAGAGGAGCTGGCCCAAGTGGCTGGGGAGAGGGAAGTCTGGGTCTCTCTCTGCTTAGGATGCTGCCCCCGCAAGCCAACCCCAGATGGATAACACTACAGTACATTATTAGCTGCTTGCTAGCATAGATAAACTTAGGGGTGAAAGGTCATAAGCAGCAGCCAGAAGCATATTGCCATATTACATTTTGTAACTCATTTACTCAACGACTAAATGACTAAATTATTTCAAATTAAATGGCATTCTGGATCTTTTTCGCAGAAAAAAAGAAACCAGTTTGGATCTTAAGACATGGCAGTTAACTTGGTAATGTATTAATAAACGCATAGTTTTCATTTGGGTAATAACAATATTGCACATTAAAATGGAGCAAATGTGTTTTTTATCAGTTGTAAACATGGAATAAAGAGAAATTTTAATGTTTTAAAATTAACATTAGCAATTAGATAAATAGCAATACAACTTATAAAATAATTCCTTAAAATATTCACTACAGATGAGCCTTAGTTTTAAGTAAATTCAATCAAATCTAAAATATGGCTTTTTTCATATTTTTATGTTTCTGATACAGGTTAAATTTAAAACTAAGACTAGTTTTGAACTGAAATTAACATTTTCAAAAATAACATGAGGTTAAATATGGTGGCTAAAAAGTAGATCAAAATTTTAATAAATAAATCAGTTTAATGGTTCAGTTTTTACATTCAGTATATGCCACCTGTAACAGTAGAGGACAGACTGTTCATTTTGTAGAAAACAATTTGTATTCAAAAATACTTTTAAAAAATGCCATAAATACTAAACTAAATTTCACAGCATTCCCTTCACAGTTACGTTTTAAACACCATTTGGTATCATCTGCTGCAGAAATAAAACAGGAATAAACCTTTACCCTTTAGCAGTGTACTGGTGAAAAGACATACCACAAAAAAAAAACAGTAATGCTAATATCAATAGTTTGTCCATTACAGGTCAGCTAACTGTCCGCTGTAACAGTTACAAAGCTGTTCGTTTTCGATCTCACAAGGCCGATCAATATGGAGGCATACTGTTTCAATTTTGCTGCCATTGATTTTCTCTATAACACTCCAACCCCAACGCATTCGTCTTTCTGAAGGAAGGAAGATTTGATTTACTGAAGAAAAATTGGAGTGCACATCACAAAGATTTTTTGCCAGGCGGGAGTGTGACATGCCAAAAGATGGATGTCCCTTGGCTGGGAAGCCTCTAGCCTAAGGGTGTCCATTAGAGCAGCACTGCTGCAGAAAATGAGCTGCTTATATGAAGGAGGAGGAGCAGAGGGAGGCGAGCCGAGGCTTGAGGTGTGTGTGTGTGTGTGTGTGATCGAGAGGAGTCGCTGTAGGTGAGGTTTGTTGGTGTAAACTGGAAAAATCTACAACTCATTTAGGTTTGTCTCAAGGAAACCGAGTAATGATAAATTGCTAAAAACACCACTGGCTAAAAAGATGCATGCAGTTCTTCAACATCACACCTGAACCTTTTATTATTTGACTTTTCCTGCTGCAGCTACCATCCCTTTATAAACCCCCTGCATTCTGCATCCAGAGTGGATGTCCACGGTACATTAGTCAGCCTATGAGAATGTAATGAAGAGACGGTGGAAACAAAAAGGAGAGAGGAGTTTGTCTCCAGAGACAGCAAGTTGGCGTTCTCCATCATCTGTCCTCATCTTCCCTTTCTGTCTGTCAATTTTGTCCAGGTGTCATGTACATGAGATGATTCCTGACCCAAATAAACAGTGTTGCCGGCTCAATTCTCAGTGGGCCTGAGCTCAAAATAGGAAAGTAAAGGAAGGTGGAAATGTGGGAGTTGGAAAAAAAGAAAATGATACCTTCCAGTTATTTCATTTGTTACCAAAACGACAGCAGGTTGGCATCCTATGTACACTTCGGTTTTAAGGTGCTGAGAAAAAAATATGTGTATGAACTGTGTGTCTGCTCAGCTGCTAGAAGGAATCTTTATTCCTCACTTGGTGATAAAAATGAAGTAGATAGGGAAACAAGAAAGTTCAAGGACATAGTGAAGACAAAAAGGAAAAAAAACATTGCATGTTGTGACATAGAAGCAAAGAGAGAACCGCAGAAAGAAGAAAGACAAAGCAGGAAACTGAAAAGGGGGAGAGAAAAAAAATCACCTAACACCTCTTCTCTCCAGAGGGCAGAGCTGCTGTAAGCTGGATATTAAGACACAAATTGCATTCAGGCGGGTCACACCATGTCAGAAGATATTAGATACCTGCCGTGAGCAAACAACAATTCCCATCAGCTCGCGAGAAAATAATATTTTCATTTTCGGATTCTATATTGAATGGAAACTTTGGGGAATATGCTTTGTATGGTGTATGAGGTTGCAGGCTTTTACAGTTCTGCTGCAAAAACACAGCATCATATTGTCTCTGTAGTGGATTTTTATATTTTTTCCAATGCTCAAACCTTGAGTATTTTATTGTAAGGATATTGCTGCACCAAATTTTGTATGTACAATACAGAAAAGTTTCTGCCTGCAGGTACACAGGTTTGCAGGATTATTATTATTATTTTGTATGTGTGTATGTTTGTGTGTCAATCTTGCCCCCGTATTTGTTGGATCTGCAACACCAGATGTTTCTCCTGTGCCTTGAATACCACCGAGTCTGGTGCACCACCTGACCTTCACAGTAATTGACCAAAAATATTGATGTAATGGCACAGGACTGATTGTGATTTATTAAAAGAGCGCTGCACTCCAAGGCCCGGTGCCAATGGCTCCCTGCACCCATCGGCAGCCATTAGGAAAACCATCAATAGCACCGCGCCATAAAGGACCAGTAATGGGTAGCTTTTTTAGCCGGGGCTCCTAGAACACAATATCCATACTAAGTGGCACTGCGCTTTTGTGAGTACACATGGAGAAACAAAGGAGAAGAGATTGCATCAAGGAGGGAAAAACGTGACCAGAAATAAACCACATCCAGATATGAAAATAATAATAATTAAAAAAAGGCAGCCTTGGATAGACTCGTGATCCAAAAGCAAACTAACCCTTACCAGACGAGTCTCTGGAGACTTGGTTCAGCTTAACAAGAGTGAGCCAGCAGCCGTCTCTCTTGCTCACCATTACACACTACCTTCACAAACAGCCATCATTAGGGAATAGCTGCATTGAATTCTGCTGCCCATTTGGCCAAACAAACACAGAGGATAAGGGTCCCTCTGTTCTTTATGGGAGCGGGGATTGTTCAAATGGATTTCATCTCCCGTCTAAGTCAATACATCACTCACCCATTGCTGACATTTCCACCTTTGCTAATTTCATCCCAGCTAAGTTGTGATTATTCAAAGATAAGATAGAGAAATTAAAGCTGTAACAATGATTTTAATGAAATCTGAGACAAAGATGCATATTGGTATGGAGCATAAAAATGGTGTACTTGCTGTTTTGTTTTGTCAGGATATTTTATTATTTGTAAATTATCACAAATTGAGTTGAGCATACAAAAACCCATAAGCGGATGTTTATCTGTATCTTGACTCTCAAAAACGTCCTACAGGCTCTGAGACGTAAAATAAATAGCTGAGTTTTGGAAAAAATCTTACATTTGTGTAATTTACGGACAATTCGTACAAGTTGATGTGTGTGCATGAGAATGAGAACAGTTTGGATGCAACTTTTGCTTTACCTGTTGGAAGAGTTTCCCCAAGCTCCGTGTTTATCGGTCAGGATATTCACTATCTTCTGGATGAGCTGTGTGGCCGTCATGTGGTCTCGAAATTTAGCTGCTCTGATCAGGTGGTCGCACATTTTCTCCTCTTCTCGTTTCTCTGCTGCATACTCAGCACAGTTTGACTGGAAACGGAGACAAATAAATGCATTGGAGATGAAGTAGTGAGAGTGATATGGGTGTATAGGTTGCAAACTCTTTGCATAAATTTGCTAAAAAAAAAAATAAAAAGAACCAACTCCTATCAACAAAAACCTGAAAAGCAGGTGTATGGAAACAATGGAACAGCATCAATACTGGCAAACCAGAGCTTTGCAAATGCCCCAAAAAAAAAAGAAAAAAAAGGCGGAGGGTCATTTCTGTCATCACGTCATGTTGATTAATAACAGTGGACATGAATTTTCTTGTGCCCTCCAGCACACCAAATCACATGCTACCTAGAATGCACATGAAGGACATTTTTCTTTGTCAGAATTTATCAGAATAGGCCTTTGAACTCTGCAACACCATCTGAAATGAACAGCTATAATCTCAAACTGTTTTATTTCCAATGTATATTTCCCAAAACAAATACTCAAGCTGTATTCAAAGTTTACCCATTTCAAACTGATAACCTTTGTGAGGTGGTTCAAAAAAAGGAGGAAAAACAAGCTCAATACATTACACACACTGCCTTGAACTGATCAGTTATATTTTTCTGAGTTCTGAGCACAATTCCAAAAGCAAATTTGCTGCAACAAAAAGCATAACACACATTTAGTCATCACTGTAGTATTGATTGTGCTTAAATGTTTTTGCATTAACCTTATATTTCCCCACTGGTCCAACAATGATACAGTAACTATTCACCTAAAAGCACTGCTGACCAAGTGCACCACACTTTTCCTAAGTTATTATTAGTAAATCACTTTATAATGGGCCCTCCTCTCCAATATGAAAGACGACATTTCATATCCGACAGAAAATCTATAGGTATAAATCACATTAGAGAGGCTTTTCTGTAGGCTGCTCAGCTATAATTATAAATCTATGTCCCTTTATTTTGCATTAAAATAGGTCTTGACTTTCTGGCATGATGAACTAGAAATCCACAAACTCAAGTGACTGTAGAGGCAGGTTCAGTAAAAGAGTGTTTCAAATTTTAGACTGAAGAAATTGCAGAGAAAAGCAAAGGCGGCACGTTGTGTGATGTGTGTGTGTGTTCATCTGGATCAGTTAAAACTATGCATGGAAGGGAAGTACAACCAGACTAACATGTTGACAGTAACATGCTGGTGAAAAATCTCAGCCATGTGGACATGATAATTCCAAAAAAATGTAATAAAAAACAACTGGACTTTTAATTTTTTTTTTATTCTTGAAGACATTTTGCATCTTATTTGAGGAGCTTTCTCAGTTCAAGTTTATTAACTCAAAACCCTACCTTTCCATTGTGAAATGAGAAAACTGTTCAGATTACACTCTAAGAAATGAAGTGTTGAATTTACTTAGACTGGTTTCACTAAACCACGTTGAGTAAATTGAGCAATTTGCACATTGTCTTTTGAAGAAAATATGTAAACTACTTTACATGTACTCAACTCGGTTTAGTGGAACCAGTGGACATAACTTGGTTAGCTGGTGCCCATATCCAGCAGTAACTGTGAGAGTGGTGGGGTACACCCTGAGCAGGTTGCAAGCCTATCACAGGGACACATAGAGACAAACAACCATTTACTCTCTCTCACTCACACCTAGAGACAATTTAGAGCTACTAATTAGCCAAGAAGTCATGTTTTTGGTTTGTGGGAGGAAACTGGTAGCCTGGCCCTTGCCGTCCAAAGCAGCTCCGCTCAATTCTAGTTTCGCTTCTCTGCTCCGTCTGGCATTTCTCCCATAGACAAGGATTTCGCTGGCAGATTTTTGGCCGAACCAATCAGAGAACAGAATGTCGATTTTCTGCGCAGTGTCTGCTTGTAGTTTATTTTACCTGGGCCAATCAACAAACAGAAGCCAGGGTTTTGAATGACGTCGATTTTCTGTGCAGTGTCAGTTATTTTAGCATACGGCAGTGGAGGAAGTGAATGAAGCCAGTCCATGTTGATAAGGCTTCCAAATTAAATTAAATTTGTCTGACAAAGCAGCAGCTCTCATTTACAGTCGTCTCGTTCGGCTCTGTACTTTTCTCCTCTCGGTAGGGTTGTTTACAGCGCTCGTGATTTCCGGTTAGCTTTTTAGCTTAGCCTCCTTCACAGCGGCAAACACACACCAGCAGAGGCCACGCCTCCAGAAACAATCGCTTCTCTATAGCAGCGAGTCCAGACCCTCTGTACGAATTAAAGTGAAGGACAAGGGTCTGGTTTTACCAGGCTAAGAAACTGGAGTACCCAAAGAAAACACATAAATGCATGGAGAGAATATGCAAATGTTACCCAAATATGTCCCCTGCTGGAATTTGATCAGGCAACCTTTTTTTTGTTTGTTTATTTGTTTTTGGGAGGCAACAGCTCCACCAACTGAGCTACTGTGCCCCACCCTAAGACTAAAATACTACGGGAAATAAATATTTTAATCCTTACATTATAAAGAAACAACAAAAGAACACACATTATTGTATGACTCCTCTGTTTTTACAAGGCCTATTAAAGATTTCAGTCATTTCAGCAAGTAGCGGATCTGTACAGAGCCCATTTCCATCTGTGCCGGTGTGAGACATGTAAAGTCTGGAGTACTAATCAACAGTGCTGGGTTCAAACTCATAACCATAAACAAACACTTCATCACCTGTGTTCATAGCCTGCCCAAACACCCAAGCCCTTCATGCTGTAATGGGCTTTTCTTATATGCAAAGCCAAAGTCGACTAAGGGAGAAAAGACCAAACGTACAGACTCACCGCTAAAATAACAACCAAAGGAGCTGAACGTATAAGTAGCGCCATTAAAAAGCTAAAGCCAGGTTTGCCTATAATTGGAAAAGACAAGTCACTGTTAATGCCAGGGATCATTCCACTGATGTGAGGTCAGAAAAAAATATGTTGGCTATGATGAAGGACTTATTATGTCATGTCATCGTGAAGGCTGTAGCAAAACACCCTGTCCCCCACGCTGCATTCACTTTCACAAAGGATTCCTGTCAGAATACAGAACAGAAATTAAAAAGATTTTTGTATGGGTGTCTATTTAAAACAACTCTCTTTATTTACGTATTTGAAATCATCGGACAACCATGAGAAGTGATTTAGTAGTATATTAGAAGTTAGAAGAACCTTTTTCAAGTCCAAAGTTACTAAAGCAGTAAAAGCGGAACATCAAAGAAACAGGTGTTTTTGTTTTCCCAAGTAAAAACACGCAGCCGGGGCGTGAAGGGATGGCAGACTATGCTCTGTTGGCTTCCTAATCAGACAGCCAGGAGGGCACAACTTGCTGGCAACAGGGCTTTTATGACTCGCGTCACAGTAATCACGAGCAGCACCTTCCATTACAAGGCCTGGCTGACAGGGTCGGCCAGTGTGGATGCTGGATCTGCTGGGAGAGGCAGCTTAGCGTGGACAAAATTATAATGACTGGCATTAATCGAGTCAATTACAATGAGTCGCGTCTCCTATAATCCATCCAAGGTTAAAAAACGAATGTGTTATGCAGTTTGGGAAGGAAACGGCCTGCCAGTGAGGTGACTTCAGAGTGGAAAGAACAATAATCACCTAAAGTCACATAATGGCAGAAAATAATAATTCAAACCTAGAACGAAACGTATGGAAACAAATGCATTCTAGCCATTCCAAAACTTTTTTTCCCTAAATCAGGGAAGACGCACAGGGAAACTTTTGGCTGAAATAAAACTGCTTACGTATTTAGTTTATAATTGCCATCCGATCATGTTTTGCCCTTTTACTTTGGCAAATAACCACCTTAAAAATCAAGAAAACGGCAGTGGTGTTGTACCATTTGTAGCTGGTATCACAAATGCTGAATTTGTTGTCAGATGATGCCTTGTCTACCTCCCTCTCTTCCTTTGTGGGTTGAGAGGGTTAACCAGTATAATAGACCAGAGAATGGAGGCTCATTACAAGATATCAGCACTGTGTTTATCAATTAGAGTGACAGAGAAAGGTCTAGTGGTGTTGCCATGCCACAGTGAGTCTTCAACACCACCCCCTCTGACAGTACAGAGTCTCAGGATCTTCTGTAGAAGAGCGGGAGGACGAAACAAAACCAGCAGATATATTATTAAAGCGCTTGATTTGCAATCTCTTGACACTGGTGGCACATCTGGGCTACAAGCTCTCCACGGCTCGGCTATCGCTCTGCAAGAGTCTCCAATTTCTCCCATCCGTCGACAAGCACTCCCCGAGGGTTTCATTTACAAACGGGCAGAGAATCTGTCCAGAGGAAGGCGAAACATCAGGCCTGTCATTGTCTTGTATCAGAGAATGCAAATGCACAACAAATAAATTCCTCCCGGAACACAATGGAGGTCCAGGGAGACAAGACGACAAAATGAGAAAGGAGGATGGGGTCGCTAAACAAAAGTAGATTCTGAACCAGTCCAGCAATTGGTTTCAGAGAGATTCTCTTGCACTTGATCTCTTGCCCTCGTGTTTTCAAATTGCAACATAAAATGTCACCGGGGGAATTCAGACAATGGGCTGGAAAAGAAACGAGTAAAAGAAAGAGGAGGGGGAGAAAAATGAGGGCTTAAAAGTACAATGGCGAACAAAAGTCACCAAATGACAATGTCTGACAGCTACTTCAATTCTGGAACGATGCCCCTGTCATGCAGGGCTCCCGAGTATTGATTTTTTTCTCTTCTCTCGTAACGCCAGAGGGAGAAAAAAAATAATCTAATCCAGTTGAAACAGATCCCTGCTGCTGGCAAAAGCTAGTGGCCATCAAGGTTAACGCAGGCACAACACTTATCAAACTATCTCCCTCTGCGCTCCACCCTTCACACAGTCTGTGGCCGGTCATTCACCATGTTTGGTTGGAAGCCTCTCCATCTTCCTTATAAAGATACATCTCGTCTCTACAAAACAATGCCCTCCTTTTGCCACATCCCTCTAGATTGCTGCCATATTTCCCTCCATAATTCAAGCTCAACTTCAAGGTCATGCCACACACAAAACCTATGAATATTTGTTAGTGTTAA